GTGGAAGAAGGCACACCAGGGCAAGAAGGGCTGCTCGCCTTGGATATTTCCAAGTTTCCCAGTAGATTGGGTGTTTTTATTTAAAAACCTTGCTCCTAGGGTTGGGCTTCGCGATACGGTTTTCTGTGCATTATTCTGTGCTGAGCTGAGATGCAAAGCGGATTGCCGACCTCTTTAAAGAATATGTGCTCAGTGGAGAAAACTGGGGGCAAAGCAGGGTCACGGCAATTCACCGTTGGACAAAGAGCATGACTCGAGAGGGCACCCACGAATGGTGGACAAGGAAAGAGGCTTGAATCAATTAGTACATATATACGTCGGACCCGAACAATCCCCTATATATATGAATAACAACATAGCATCTGCATTTAGATACAATACGAATTTCATAGTCACACCCGGTTTGGGCTTCATCCCAGGACATGCTCAACAAGTACAACGAGGAGACCGTGGAGCTTCTGATCGCCGACAAGGCCGGTGTAAGTCCTATATTAATTATAAAGTGGATAGCCCTTAAATCTTAATTAACCTTTGAGCCCCCCCCTTAGCCTAAACCCCAAACCGCAAATAATCCCTTCATATCGCCGAGGAAGCAGACAACAACATGTGGATGGAACACCCGGACTTCCGGAACGCCAAGGCTTCGATTCGACTGAAGCATAAAGGCTATAAAAGGTTTTGCACAAAACCAACATCCCTAAACCCTAAAACCTAATCCGGAAACCATTAGAACCCTAAACCCTACACCCTTATGTAAACCCCTAAACCCTATCAGGAGGAGGTCCGGAAAGTGCACCGCCTCTACAAATGTTGGGCTGGGGCCAGGGAAATAGAATTGGAGATAGACTCCATATCCTTTTCCTACGAGAGGGAGGCTTTGGCCCCCCAGCATGACAGCACGGGCGGCACGGAGACGAGTGAGCAGGACCAGCGACGGGAGCAGCAAAAGCAACAAGTACGCAATGTCAAAGCGAAGACGACAGAGTCTCTTGCTAAGAGTGTTCCCCGGTTTGCACTAGCTAGCATAGGGGTTAATAATGTATTTCAATAGAGACTATACATATTTATAAATTAATAAATTACGACTACTAGGTTACCTCTGGTTTTCGCTACTGACAATTCAGGCTATTCAGCTGGGCAACTCCAACCTCCTCACCATCAGAGGCTATCGGAGCAAGCTTGTCGCCAACGGGGTGTCTTCCGGCTATAATAATCACACTGGAACTGCTAGAGCTCTACCCGCAAAACCCCATGCCAAAACGAGCCCTATAAACCCCCGCCCTGCCAAACCTAAAACCTAAAACCGTGAATCCTAAGACATATAATACAGCTCTACCCACTAAACCCCAAGCCCAAAGGAGCCCTTATCCCCACGCCGAAACCTAAACCCTAAAGGAAGCCGTGAACCCTAAGACATAATTGTAATCATTATGTGATTGTTAAGGCAGGAAGCTCTCATCGATGCACTGTGCTTGGGGATGAATATTCACAACGCCGCTATCCAGAAGCATGTCGGGCTCGTGGAGGATTGGGGCTACAATAGTCTATTAAAGTTCAGGGCACTTTTTTTTTGAAATTCTGACCGTATATATTATTAATACCCCAAACCCATGTTGCAGGAGGCACTCGCCACCGGCACCGTGGGTCAGGAACTGGAGGACCGCATCCATGGCCTTGGACAAGCGAACTCTAGTTTCAAAACTGGGGCGAAGCACGTGCAAATGCATCTCCGACCCGTGAAGAAAGCGGGGGATGCTGTTGCTAAGGGAAAGGCAAAGGCCAAGGGCAAAGCCAAGACCGGTAAGAGGTAGAGGCAGAAACTTCTTTTTTAAGTGTTCGTCGATCTGCGAGCCGTAGCACTGGAACCTTGTAGCAACGGTGGCTTCACTGCATGCAAGGCACTAGCCGATAGCAAGGTCCCCTCTAGAACCAAAGCCTATGGTCCCTAACAGTACTATTCGATGGTGTTAAACCCAAAACTGGCCCGAAACCCTGGCCCTTAAACCTAAACCCTAAATAGGCCTGGTGTTATTTGCCAAGTCTAGAGATTCGCTAGGTACGATGTCGAACCCCGAACCCTCAGTATAGCCTACTGTGTTGTAGCCTACAAACATAGGGGATCGTACACGGCTGCTGTGTTGCGAAGCAGTGCAGGGGAAGCTGCAGGGTGTGCTGATGCGGCCATGATCATGATTTCTAATTTCTCGGCTGGGGCAAGCCTTATCATGTGCTTCGGGCTTGCTGTTCGATCCTGGCCACCAGTCTTCGGCGGTGAAAAAAACAATGATTGGAATCGTATCCTGGAGTTATGATGCTAGTGCTTAGTCTAGATCTATATCAGTGCCCCCTCGCAGGTGATGAAACAGCTTTTGCGGACTACCTCCTCAAGTCCTTGGGCACGGGGGCTCTTTGGCTGTATGTACCCCAGACTCCCACCTAAACCCCCAAATCCTCGAGCTCAACCCTAAACCCCGATAGCTTTGCCCCCACTATCCGAAGTAACATATATATGCCCGCTGCCCAGGCTAATTCAGCTGCTGGAATACAAGCTGCAGCATCCGCTATGGTTCGAGAGGCGAAGGGGCATGCTTCCCCGATCACACACAAAATAGCCAAAGCTGGCTCTAGCGGCCGGTACAAGCAGAACTGTCAGAGAGACATAAGCCGGGCCCTAGGCCTCCCCGTAGCCGCTAGGTCGGATTACTTTTCTTTAATTTGTTGTTTTTAGATAGCTGGTATTAACCGGATAGTGCAAGTCGTCTTACTTGTATCCTGATCATGATTTGAGCCCTGCTCCCGAAATCAAGGACTTGCACTTCGTCGACGTCCCCTGCAAAGATGCCAAAGACAGGAAAACTGAAACGACGATGAAACTTCCCATGGTCTTGCCTCACGAGCTTTACCAATACTTGTATGCCACTCAGCTGTGTCTATTAAATCCAAACCCCAAGTTTAATTTCAACCTCAAACCCTAGGAACACCCAACAGCAATAATAGCGCTGAAGCAGCCCGAACCGAAACCAAAGCTAGATCCTTTAACACAATATTCTCGACTTTGATAAATTTCATAGCTAAGCTCAAACCTGCAAGAACAATGGAGTGCCCAGTTGCAATCGTATCCCAGGAGACTGGCCGCATTCGAGTGGATCCTGAGGACATCAAGACTTTCTGGAAACTTGCTTCGGAAGCTCAGGAAAGCCCGCCACTGGGTGCGGCTGAGCAGATGATTCCACTTGGGTGGTGGGGGGACGATGCAAGGTTTAACAAAGCCGGTGACAAGATCACACTTTTTACCTTCAACATTTTGTTGAACAAAACAGAAGGAGGCTCAAATCGCAACATAGCATGAGTTCTAGTTTTTTATATGATCCTTTGAATTATTTCATAACTACACTAATTATAATATATATATATATATATATATATATATATTATAATTAGTGTAGTTATGAAATAATTCAAAGGATCATTTTTCTTTAGGCTCAGAAAAGCTTGCAGGTGGGCAGATGAAACGCTACCCCGTCATGACGATCCGGGAATATATTTCCTACGGCTTGCGGACCTGGGCCCCAGCACTGCGAATCATGGCTTGGAGTTTCAATGCTTCTTGCCTGAATTATTTTTGACTTTACCAGTATTGGTAATCTCGGCAAACTATCTAGCTCATAATTAGGGCCTGGGCCTCACGGTCCTATTAGCTAGCTACACCCAAACAGCTGACCATCCGAATCTCCGCAAACCTGCGGCCGAATCCTCGCTACACCGAAACAGCTGACCATCCGATTCTCAGCAAACGCTCGGACCGAAGCCTCACAATCCTATAGCTATACCCCCAAAATAGTTGACCATCCCAGATACTCGTATCTGGTGTCAACCCGGCGGTTTCCTTCGACGGCTCGACAGCCAAGCGAGCCGGGGAACCGATCAAAGGACAACCCCGGGAATCCCAAACCCAAAGCCTTTATTGCTTTTGGGTATTGAAAGAACTAGATCGATTCGAGGGACTTCATCACGATTGATGTCGAACTTGCAGGACCCAGAGCAATACTCTGCGAATATCGTGGAGATTGGAAGTTCCATTACGAGCATTGGAACCTGAGTGCTTCGTACAAGGCCACTCGCCTTTGCCACGTTTGTGTGGCTTCCAAGAACGGGCCCTGCTCGCTACTCGATCGAGATACCATCAAAGCTATGTATATTTTTCCTAGGCTTCGGCACTTATTGCTGAAAACACTAAGTTTATTGTTTCCTGGCCTAAACCCCAAAACCCTAAATCCTAAACCCTAACACTAAGTGTATTGTTTCCTGGCCTAAACCCCAAAACCCTAAATCCTAAACCCTGGCTCAAGCTAAACCAAGGTATGCGACCGATTTGACTCGACAGTTCGTCCGCCGATCTGCTCAGGAAATCATTTCGGATTGCATGAACCCCTCTCTGCGAAATCCGCTGGCTACGGACTTGACTGCTGGGGTCTTCAATGCTGCGACACAGATTCGTCCTTGCAGTATGCATGTGGTCAACCTTGGAGTGTTGCAGGTGCTTAGCGGCTCAGTGGTGGATATGCTGGTGAAGGCTGGCTTCTTCGGCTCCACAGAGCCCGCAGTGGCATTGCACACGGCATCTTTGCGATTCAAGCAGTATGCCAGTGCTCACCGACTTGTTCATTCAGTGCCGTTCCTGACTCCGAACATGTTGGTCGATGCAAGCACTGCAGGCAGCTACCCGGTGCTCACTTTAAAAGCCTTCAACGGCAGGCTTTTCTTGGGTTCCTTTCGGCATGCCTCCGAGCTGCTGTCGCAAAGGGTCCGAATCCCGACTTGGAGCTGCGACTCGCTGAGAGATGCACGCACTCGTTGCTTCTCTGGTTCCAGATCCAGGAAAATGCACCCCGGCGGTTCATAGACCCTGCCACTGGACAACGGCTGCTGCAAACCGGTGACGAATTCCTTCGCCTCTACCATGGTTTGGCCCAACTGGCTTGCCAAAGAGGCGAGTTTCGATGGAAGATCTTACCGAAACACCACGATCCCTCGCTGCAAATGTAGCAAATGTTTTGCTAGTTTTTTTTTAAATACACCCTAAACCCTAAACCCTAAGTCCTAATGTTCTACTTTTTCTTTTCTTAAATACCCTGGCCCTAAACCCTAAGTCCTAATGTTCTACTTTTTCTTTTTAGAAATACCCTAAACCCTAAGTCCTAATGTTCTACTTTTTCTTTTCTTCAATATATATATATACCCTGGGGCTCCTCGTGGTTTGGTACCTACTTTAAACCTGTTGGAGCCCGAGGGATAAGTGCCGAAACCTGGGAAGTCATGTATACTATGTGTCTTGTACTATGTGTATACTAAGATGCTTCGCCATATCAGCGAGATCGCGGCCTGGGAGCGGGTAAACCCGCGAGCTTTTCATACCTTCCAAGACGAAGACTGCATAGGGCAATGGAAACTGTTATGTGTTGCCTCACCCTGCAACTCAGCTTCTTCGATTATTTTCCATATGCTTCAGACAACCCTAAACCCTAAACTAGACCCTAATTATAAAACTAATTAAACCCCGAAAGCCAAGGCAGCATGATGGAATGGAGGTTGATGAGCCGCTACTTACTTCGCTTAGCTGCGACGACTTGAAGCACTGGTTGCTTACAGCTTTCTGGCTCTGCGACCGCTACACTGCCCTGGGTTTTGTGGCTACAGAGCGGCCAAGACTGGGAGTTGGCTCTGGTTCCCTGGAGTGGCTACAGACAAGACTGGGGGTTGGCTCTGGTTCCCTGGAGTAGTTTTCGTACTGCAGGCTAGGAGCTAGTCGCCGGATCCGTGGACCGTCGCAGCAGCAGCCAGCACGAATAAGCTTGGAATTGCCCAGTTTGGCCGCTTTTGTGCTTTTCGGTTTAAGAAGGTTATATTACATATATATATATATATAGGTCTATAGCTTAAAACTAGGGTAGTAGTTGGGCGGTTACTTAAGCTTCGGAGTTGAAGGGCCAACGGGCTTTCGGTGCTGTAGCTCTGCCAGCAGTGTGCTCTGCCACCAGTGTGCTGAGTCAGCAGTACAGGTCTCGATGCATTCTGTCCTAAAGTTGTTTTGCCCAAGCAGATAGCTTTAGGGATGGCTATCCACAACGAAGATGTCGCTGAGCCCAAACCCGTGAAGTTCACAGCGGAATGCATCAAGTACTTCTTGAAGCACCGGAAAACCACGATCAGCAAGCTTCACCGTATGCGAGCTGTTCTTTCCGACTCTGTGCCTTGGATAATAATTATTCTATGCTAACCCAACCCTGAGACCTAGATTCCCTAAACCTATAGTTCGTACTGTTATTTCGTATATTCAAGGCTTGGCAGTCCGCTCGTGATCTGGGTATGGAAGCTGCATCGGTGCTCGAGTGCGAAGAACAGAAACGAATGGCTAAAGAGGACAATCGAGCTCGTCATGTGGAAGTCCTTAATTAGAAATTAGGTGCGGATGCAGCAAGCACAATTCCGCCCTGGCTGCAAAAAGACCGCTCCACGGCCTTAAGCGAAGGTCTACTTGGAAGGGCAGGGGACTTAGTAAGTAGGTTATTATAAGTAGAGTTACAAGTACCCTAAAATGGAGTTACCCTAATTATACTTATAAACGACTTACTAAGTCCCCTGTCCTTCCAATTAGACCTTCAAGCAAGTTTGGGAGACTTCTCGAAGCAGAAGCGAAGCCTAAGTATCCCTGCCGACTGCATTTCTGGCGCCCTCGACCCTATCCCTTAAAGCTAAAACTCCAAACCCTGCAGTCTTGAGCTATGTACTGTTCCCTTAACACGGATTTAGCTAGAACCCAACGATATCCCAGCCTCAAGCGAATCTGAAACTTTGAAACTCTCACCCGAACGACCTCAAACGACCCGCTGTAGCCCTATATCCTAGACCCTCAACCCCGAGACACCACTCGAACAAAACCGCTGTGACCCTAAATCCGAAACCGCTGGCCAGGACCCAAACATCTCACCCGAACGACCCGCAGTAACCCTAAATCCTAGACTGTGACTACTCGAACACAACCGCTCTTACCCTAAATCCTAAACCCCAACCCCAAGACCCAAACAGGCTTTGACGAACCTCAACCCTAAACCTTAATTGGGCTCAAACCCTAAACTCTAATTGGGCTCAAATCGGTTATGATCATTCCGATAAGGCTCAAACTCGCTTCGATATTCCCCATTCGGGGTACTGTAAGGGCTTACAAGAATCATGATTTTGATGTCCTGCAACATCTGCGAATCCATATTATTGTAAGTCTCTGAGTCTGGCGACGCAGGCTCATATTTAATATATGTTGTCCTTTTCTGTAAACCTACCGGAATGTCTTCTCGCTGGGGCGACGTTGGAGCGGCAGGGAAAGGAGACAGCATCATCGAAGATGAAGATGATTGGCGTAACGTTAGGCGGAGAAATAAGAAACTTCGGTTCAAGTGGGTTGGTCAAACCACTTTTGAGATCAAGCCTGCTAAGACTCCCACTCCTAACGGAGATGGTTCCTTCCCAGCTATGCCTGTCACTCAGGGGGATGAAGCCGAGCACAGGGAAAAGCTGGCTAACACCTCGCCTGTTTCCGATGAAGACATCATGGATAAGTTGGCTATGGTTGCTAGGCCAGTGAATAAGAAGGAGCTTTCCCAGAACCCTAAAGCTCAGGCTTCCCTCGATGTTGAATGGAACAAACTGATGACCAAAAAGGCTTGGGACATGGAATCTGTTCGGGAATGGAGCGACGTCTCCAATCGGGCTCAGAAGAGCGGGCAAAAGGTCCACGTCGGGAAATTTTTTGAAATCTGCGTGGAAAAAGGAAGCGAGCTCCCTGCTGGCGACCCTTTAAGGAAATTCAAAGGGCGCACAGTGTTCCAAGGGAATAATGTTCGCGACGAAAGCAATGATGCTGCATTGTTCAGTGAACTTGGATCCAGCCCTGCTACGATGGAAGCTGGCAAAACCCTGGATGCCTATGGGCACATGCCTGGGAACGTGTGTGAACAGGCCGATGGCAAACAGGCCTACACACAAACCAAGCTGAAGGGGATTGAAACTTGGGTAAGGTTGCCTAAGGAGCGCTGGCCGAAAGGTTGGCATGGTAAGTTCAGTGATCCAGTCGTTAAGCTTGTGTTAGCTTTATATGGACACCCAGATAGCGGAGGCTTCTGGGAGCAGCACTGTGAAAAGATGTTAAAAGAAGTTGGGTTTCATTTGGTATTTCCGGCGGCTTGGCCTCTGTGTTCTATCATCCTGATCTCAAGCTGTTGCTTGCGGTTTATGTTGATGATTTCAAAATGGCAGGACCAAAGCAAAACATGGCTAAAGGATGGGAGTTGATAGCTTCTAAGATCGACATGGACACTCCTGCTCCACTGGGCAGATATCTCGGTTGTGAACATGTGTCCACCTCCACGTCGCTTGAAAAAGCTGACCATCCCTTTGCTCACGTGTTCGACAAGAGCATTCCTGATCCTGCCGCCAAGCCTGCATCGGCTGCTGCCGTTGAGGATTACACCGAATATTACCCTGAAGAAGGTGTGGTTGTTAGGCACCATCTTCAGCCCCGCAAAGCACTATATAGTCTCAGATCAGAGGAAGCTCAGGCGATGAACCTTGGCAAAACACGACTCACGGAAGTGAAGTCCTTGGTTTCTACGAATTCGCTTGAAGAGGTTTGGGATGAACATGGTCAAAATAGAAAGCGGGGGGAACTTTGGGTTGGTTCCACTTATCTATTGTCTAATCAACATTCCCGCGCATCTGCACTTGCTGCTGTCAAGAAAGTGCGGGACAAAACCAAAGCCAAGAAAGCTGCTAGAAAACAGGCCTTTTATGATGTCAATCAGCTTGACGAGGGCAAAGGATGCATGAAAGCGCCCACTAAGCAAGTCATCTACGATATGAGTTCATTCTTGCAACAGGCCATTGATCGCTACAAAGAACTAGCTGGCCCAGAGTTCCAGACTCTGAAGAAAGCAAGCACTCCGTTCTATGATGACAAGATTGCTCGCCCGGTGGAAGCTGAGGCAGAGGCCAAGGGCAAACTTGCTCCGATAGCAAGCAGAGTCCTGATGAAACTGCTATTTGCAGCAAGAATGGCTCGATTCGATCTTCTTCGTGCCGTTCAGGGTCTGGCTAGTCGGGTTACCAAGTGGTCCGCTGATTGCGATAAGGCGTTGCACCGTCTTATGTGTTATGTGCAAACCACCTTGCACTATAAAATGTCTGGATTTGTGGGCGATAGTCTTGATAAGTGCAACCTTTGGCTATTCGCTGATTCAGATCATGCAGGTGAGCACGACAATCGCAGTACATCAGGGGGATTCCTGGCTTTAGTCGGCCCCAACACTTACTTTCCGCTTAGTGCTTTTAGTAAGAAACAAACAAGCACAGCACTTAGCAGTACTGAAGCTGAGGTTGTTTGTGCAAACGTGTCGCTGCGTGCATTGGGACTTCCTTCATCCGCACTTTGGAGCGTACTCCTGAATGCGGGGGGAGATACCAAGCAGCAACACGCCTCTCTAACGAAAGGCAAAACCACTGATCTTACTAAGGTCCCTGACAATGAAGTGTCCAAAATAAAGTCAACAGGATCGCATCGTTTGCCTGACGGCAGGCACCTTTGCGTCTACACGGGTGTATCAACTATACCCGAACCCTCTGAGATGACCAGTCATCCATTGAGAGATGTATGGATTCAAAGTAAGGGGAAATGGACCAGAATTGAGGAAGCCGTCGCCTGGGAAGAGCTTCATAACTCCTCCTATTCAGTGCAATGCGATACCTTAATCTGCATCTACCGGAGATCGGCAATGGACTATCGTCGCTTCGCGGAAGCGGAAGCAGAGATGCACAAGGAACTTGCCGGTGTCAGGAGTTCGGGGGGCGTTGACATTGAGAAGCTTGCCCCAACGTCTGGCAATAAAGACATTGGACTCATAGCCTGCATGCCGCATGCTATCGAACCCATAGTGCTCGAAGATAACCAGGCCACCATTAGGATTCTTGAGTCCGGTAAGTCGCCAGCTTTTAGACATGCCGACAAAACACAAAGGATTAATCTCGGTTGGATCGCAGAACAATTTAGAAGAAAACATTATAAGATGGCGTACATCAGCACTTTGTTGCAAGCTGCCGACATCCTCACAAAACCCTTCACCAACTGGGAGAAGTGGACTAGAGCCCTTGAGCTTATGCGCATTGGCCCTGACAAATCTAGAGTCAGGAAAGCCACGGCGGCACCACAGCAGCCGGAAGGCGTGCTCAAGAGGCCAGAAACCAAGTGCAAGACTTTGATCATTGAGGTTGCGTTTGATGGTATGTCGTTTATGAAGTCGATAGATCAGCAGAGTCATCCTTCGGTCAGCTGGGTTACGGTCCATGGTATGGATGAGATCAATTCAGTTCATGCTAGGAAGGACCTACTCAACAAGGCTAAAAGACTCCATAAGGCTGGAGCATCAATATTGGTTTGGCTCCGTATTCCGTCGTCTTCTCAGACTCGTCAGACAGCCTTCACCCTCCTAGCGGATGTGATGTGCAGCAATGAATTTACTAAGAAAACATTCTACAAAGCATGGGCTTCATTTGTTGATGTCTCCACTGGGTTAGACTCGTTGAGATCTGATTATGTTCTGATGGCAGATAAGGACAACCCTTATCTCACCAGTGAAAGAGTCCAGAAGTGGCTTACCAAACACATGCTCAACGATAGGTCATTTGACGCCTGTGGAGTCAACTTCATGGGTCCTGATGGATTGATGGCTCGTGT